TTGAACGGTTTTACTGTGTTGGCCATTTGTTTTTACCGTTAAACAAATTTTCGCTTACAATTCCCCGAGTATTCCGTTATTCGTCCTGCGTAACCACGTACATAGCTGGATACTTATCTTACTCATTTAGTTATATTGCACCAGTATTTTTTTCGACATCCTTACAAATCTCCTATTCATTTGTTCTTCCTTCATTTACACCATACCAAATGTTTACTCAATTTTCTGAGGGCAAGGAGAACGGCGGTCTAGCCACCACTAAGGAGACGAGCATTTTAGGCCTGCAAGCCCGGTTACCTGAATTTATATCGGAGGACCCCGAGTTCTGGCTGGCCCAGGTCAAAGCACAGTTTAAGCTGGCCATAATGATTAACCAGCTGGCCAAATTCACGCTGCTCGTAGATCAACTCCCGAGGTCTATGGCCTCGGGTTTGCGCAAAATAGTGTGCAATCCACCGCCGGATCGACCGTATGATACCCTCCGCGATACAATCTTGGGCAGATACGGTATGTCAGAAAAATACCGCCTGAAACAACTGCTAGACGACCTGTTTCTGGAAGACAATGGCCTGGACACCCCGACAAAACTTCGAAGTTATATTTAGGGTCAGGCCGCTAGCCTGAACGTCGATGAGAATATACTCCGTCTGTCTTGGTTGCAAGCTCTAACAAAGAGCTTATCTTCCATCCTGCAGTACTTCGGTCAACGCTACACACTGTCCGAATGGGCAGTGGTCGACAGAGTGTACGCTGATCAATTGTCGGTCCAGTCCCTCACTCAGCCAACGCACCCACCGCCTTCCTCCGATAACATCGAACTCATAGCCTGCGTTAAAGCATTAGTCGCACAGGTCCAGGCGTTAACTTTATCGCGCGACCGCCCATGACAACACCGCCGCTCGCGCTCCAGCCACAGGGGCCGTAGCCCGAGGCGCCCGCGATCTCGCTCACCGTCGAACGGGATTTTCTGGTATTACCGCTTCTACGGTGATGCCGCAAAGAGGTGTCTCACACCGTGCACCTAAATCCTTAAGTCGGGAAACTAGTTAGCCGACCGGCCCAGGCGACGACCGTGTCCGGCTTGCCACAACAAAGTCGCCTGTTTTTCGTTACCGACCGTCATACCGGGATACGCTTCCTGATCGATACAGGCGCACAGGTCAGCATTAT